CACACACACACACAAACACTCACGCCTGTCACCCAGAGGGGTAGGCAGAGACTACGGACTTCCATTTGGCGCGATCCTGACACACCTCTCTGTGTTATTAGGAAGATGCTCCTGCACCTCTTCTGGTCTTTTCTTCGTCATCTTATACGCACGGGACGGTGTAAGGTACACTCGGTCAGTACAGCATGTGTCTTTTAGTTTAAAATGTTCCTTTAAAAAATCCCCAAAGGTTTGTTGCTGCTACGATCCCCTACCATATAGGCGAGAATTTGCGGACGCTTATATGCAGATGGCTGAAAGGAAATTCACCCACCTTACTCCGTTATTTGTCAAAGCCTTGTATTTCTCTATCGCATCATTCACGCAACCCTCGTGGCCGATGTTGCAAGCAAACGCCAAAACGTACAATCGATTTAGAGTAGTTGTTAAGGGCTCGTCTGCTTTTACGTCATATTTAAGTTCGTTGATTACCGCTTCTAAGTATTCTAAAAGTATTGCCTGTAAAACACATTAATTCCACAGGTTAATTAAAATATTAGAATATTAGAGAGATTGAGAGAGAAAGAGAGAGAGAGAGAACCAGAAAAACCGACATATAGCTAAATGGACCAGTAAGGTGAAGTGGAATGGGCCACTCGATGGGGAAGAAAGTTTCTTGAGTGGTATCAGTAACAGAATTATAGAACGCCGCCCACTAGATAGTGACAACATGATAAGACGTGCAAGAAGTCGATGGATGCAGGTGACTAAGGACGTGTTTATAGCATTCCTTGAGGAGGCCTATATTTAACAATGGACTTGTAAAGAGCTGTAATGATGATGATGATGATAAATTAAAGGTTTATAGATATTATTTATTTAGTCCACTATTGCACACAGGGCCGCCCTCATAGATTTCATCATAGGAAAGATTTTGCCATATTTTTATTTTTTTACGTGGTAGAGCCATGCTGCAGCTATATTAATAATATAGTTGTAGCACGAATGGGTCGGCTCGACCGGGGAAGGACCACGCTCTCACAGAATACCAGCGTAAAATAGCAGCTTCATGCTGCTGTCTTTCGTATGGTGAGTGTATAGAACCGAAGACCTTTTTACTGGTAAAGAGGCATTCTATCTTAGTCCTCACGACTGACAACGCATCTTAATTCACAAACGAAGATAGATGTAGATGTCTATGGGCCACAGCAAATACTTACCACAGGTAGACTGTGTGCTCGTTTGTCACCCTAATTGTATAAAAAAATTATTTGCCATGCTTGGCGGACGACTTGGCATCCGCAGTGTGTTTTTGTTATTTTCAGTTGTCATCAGAAAGATGCTGCTGCCATATCTTTTTTTTTATTCATTTTCCTTCTGTAGCTTCTTACGAAACTCACGTGACGATATGGTGTAACATATTCTCATATAGCGTCACTACACTGTCAATCACATACCAATCATGTGATCTTTCTATCACGTCACGTCCGCGAGACGAAATAGGGTCCCTCAAGTGTCGTCAGAGGCGAAGAAAAGTGGAGGGATTTCCGTAAACCGCCACCAAGAGGTATGTTATTCTAACCGGCTTGGTTAGAATAACATACCTCTATTCATACCTTTGATCTTAAATTTACGTTGATAATGGGTAAATTAAATGACTTAAGGTCTATGCGTTTTTTAGAGGATGAGAGTAACAAACTAATACACAGTCCACCAGATGGTAAGTGGATGCTGTGGCCCATAGACATCTGCATCTGTTCTCGATTAAAAACTAAAATGCAGATGTCACAAAAATTCAAAGTCTCTGATTGGGGGCAACTAAATCCAGTCCAGTTCAATCCCCAGAAGACACAAGTTTGCGCGTTTTCCGCTAAAAAGAACCCCTTTGCCGTATCTCCTCAGTTTCAAGGCACTGCCCTTGCTGCCTCAGCTAGCATCGGCATGCTCGGCGTTGACATATCGAATAGTTTGCAGTTTTGTGGTCACTTAGAAGGGAAGGCCAAACTGGCCTCTAAAAAGCTTGGCGTGCTCAGCATAGCGAGACTGTATTTCATGCCGGCACATCGCCGCAACTTTACAAAGCGCAAATCCAGCCTCACATGGAATACTGTTCTCATCTCTGCGCCGGAGCACCCCAGTGCCAGCTCCATCCACTTGACCGCATCCAGCGCAGAGCGGTTCGAATCGTCGACGACAGAGTTCTTTCTGATCGGCTCGATATACTGGCACTGCGTAGAGATGTTGCATCTCTTTGCGCATTTTATCGCATTTACCACGGGGAGTGCTCTGAGTAATTGTTGGACTAATTCCAGCCGCTCAATTTCACCATCCCACATCGCGACAAAACTCGCGCGATTTAGAAGATGTTTACTTCCTCGCACAATTCCTTGTGGAATCGATTACCACCAGCGATTTTTCCGGACCGGTACGACTTAGGGACCTTCAAGAAAAGAGCCTACTCCTTTTTTAAAGGCCGGCAACGCATCTGCGAATCCCCTGGTGTTGCGGTTGTTCATGGGCGGCGGTAGTCACTTACCATCAGGTGAGCCGCATGCTCGTTTGCCCCCTCTCCTATAAAAAAAGAATCAATGTGTGTAAGCAAAATATATCGCTCGACTGCATTACGAGTAGTTTTAATTAAGAATAACGATATTTTCGAGCAAGTGCTATTGATATTAAAATAAAAGGAATACATACATCAAAATCGTCCAACGTATCGGGCAAGTGCAAGAACCGATTCCTTAGCCACGTAAATCCACTAATTGCTGGATACCAAACGAAGAAGTTCGTCTCAGATTTTAAGAATTCTAAAACTTGGAAACCAAGCCTGTACGTCATCCTTTCTGACCTCATTAACGCAAAAATGTCATCAACAATCTAAAAAAAGAAATAATCAATTTGTGCATGGAGATTAAAACATTGACAAAACACATGATATTCAGAACATTATAATATAATATATAATAATAATAATATTCCACAACTATCAAACAACGCCATCTAGTCCCAAGCTAAGCAGAGCTTGTGTTATGGGTACTAGACAACTGATAAACATACTTATATATTTCTAAATACATAAATATTATAGATAAATTACACCCAGACACAGAACAAATGATCGTGCTCATCACACAAACATTTGTCCTGGGTGGGAATCGAACCCACGACCTCCGGCGTAGCAGTCAGGGTCACTAACCACTAGACCAACAGGCCTGTCAATCATTATATTCAAAATATGCTAATATAATAATAATAGAATTGATAAAGAAACTTATATTACCTGAGCTCTATTCAAGTGATGTATGCTCTCTCGATTTTGTTTTAGGGCACTGGCGAGCATTTCCCAACTGTGCACGTCGTAATTAACTCGATAAATACCTAAGAGTGAAGAATGTATATTATTATTTTTCCTTATAGATTATTAAACCTTTATATAACATCAATTTATATTTTCAAAAAGAGCCGTAGTAACTGAGATGGTTAGTGCTCGCTGTAAATTTCACAGTACGCGAGCAACACGGGTTCGATCCCCGCCGGCACCAATGAAATTTTTAATTGCAATTTTAAGTGCTAATTTACCTCGTGCTTGGCGGTAAAGAAAAATATCGTGAGGAAACCTGCATATCTGAGAAATAAGAAAAAAAATCGAAGACATGTGAAGTTCGCGAACACGCATTGGGGCAGCGCGGCGGACATTTCCTTGCCCTAAAACCCTCTCAGAAATGAGGAGAGGCCTGTGCCCAGCAAGGGGACGTATATAGGCTCTAAATTTAACTTTATTTTACATTTTTATTTTCAAAGCCAATTTCTCATTAATAAAACGATAAAAAATTGCCTGATAAAAAACCGAAGATTTGATTCTAGCCACACCCGGGATTCGAATACGAGACCACATGGTCAGCACTTACGATCACTAGACCAACAAATCAGTCAAGACAATTGTCCCAATCTCTGAAGTATCCCATAATAGCAATAAGTGTAATTCCTCATTAATAATATTAGTAAAATAGTCCTGTAATAAATATTATTCGTCCGCATTATATACTTCCTATAAAAGCCAGCCTCAACGAACGCTAGCCATCTTCGCAAGACAGGATTATAGTGCCCGAGTGTATGCGCAAGTACAGTTGCACTCTGTATTCCCTCACTCCCATAGTCGGATAGGACGGTAAACCGACACAACCAGAGAGGGATCAGGCGCAGGACCAACGGCTTTACGTACTTTCCGATGTGAAACACCACCAACTTCCTGCCTCCGGGCAGCTAATGAGATTTCTTGACAGAAAAATTCAATCATTTTTTTTTCAATAAATTCTAAAAATAATTTTTCGGCCCGACGCGGGATTTAAACCCGGGACCTCATAATCAGCAGTCGCGTTTATGTATTATGTACCAACGAAATAAGAAGCATAAGCATGCTATACAACATAATATGCTGCCTTAACTCATTTGATTAGTAAAAAAAAGTTTACCCTTTTGCTGCACGTTGAAAATGACCCATTCATGGCCGGCCTCTTTTTGTATTTGATATGTCTTGTTATTCATCACGTGAGATGGTCGAAGGTTATTCCAGTTAGGATTATTGCCAGTTGTAAACGTCAATGGAAGTGGCCAAACTTGATTAGTGGGTTCTGCAGAGGCACTGATGAAGAAACGCTCCTAAAAGTTATAATGAAACATTTTGAAAACGTATAATTTTAAATCTTTAAAAATAATCGTAACCATTTAACTAGTAATATTTAAACCTTTTGCAATAAACGCACCTGATTTAGGGTAATTAATCCAGTATTCATATCAACATCAACATTCAATACTGGATATCCACGTTCTTCAACCCAATAACGCATAAATTCAGTTATATTGACGCCGCTATCCAAGACGGAATCTTCTGCTACAGCTCTAGCAAAACTGTTATAGAGATCCGAAGGAAAAGCGTGCTCATATGACCTTAAATTAATAAATCACGGATAAATAATTTGAAGTGGCTATAGGCTGGCCATATAGCCTGAAGAATCGATCACTGATGTGAAACAAAGTTTTTTCCACGAAAAGACCCAAAAAACTTTGTTCCACGAAATATTTACAAACAAAATATTATGTTTATATAATATTGTAAATAAGTTAGAAAGATAAGAACGTGGCTAAAGAGAATATAAATATAATTTGTCAAACAAAAAGTAGAGCTTATAAAGTAGAGTTACCAGTACCTGAATACTAAAACAAATGAGTTTGTATTTTTACGTTTATTTCATGTTGGGTTAAGAATGCCATATTTTGTAATTGAAAAATTAAAATAACTTAAAATAAATGTAAATAACGTTACTGAAATATAAATTTTATTTTATTTGTTGGATGCCACTTATAACTGTGTGATTTGCGCAAATATGCTATTTCAAGACATCATCCTGAAAATGCTATTAGTCCTCGACCTTGTAATAACTGGCCCTCCACAAATAGATGGATTCAGGAGGCCGTGTTTTGTGGCATTCCTTAAAAATAATTTTATGTATTATTCCACGAAAATAAGCTAATGTTCAACAGTGGGCTTCTGAATCGCTGTAATGATAATGATAACATTATAAAAAAAATAAAAATAGCCACTGATTATCATAATAATATACTGGGTGGCGATTAGGTTATCATATTAAATAGCACAGCAGTAAATACAAGTTTATATATGTCTGTTAAAATAATAAAATAAACAATTCTACCAGAAATAAAAAATGCATCTTTCAAACAAAATAAATAGCGTAAAAATTGACACGAAATAAATCACCTTGATAATATTAGTTTACTGACCACAAGTGACATGTAAAGGCGGCAACGGTGCGGCAGGTGCGCAATGCTCATGGTAATTATTTACCTACACATTCCCATTCATAGGTAATTAGGCAAAAAAACTAAAAAAGGGGTACCGCACTATAATATTAAAAACTATGATAATAAAAAAAAAAAACTAAAACTAGAAACTTAATTATCATATAGTCCTACTCCCCGCGGTATCGTGCCAAGAACGCTGGCTGCGTTTCCCCGCTGAATGGCTATACTTAGCCTTTGAGCGAGGAAAGAACCAGCCCTCTTATCACCAGCAGCAACGACCAGCCGCGGTTGGAGTTCCTTTAGGAACTTCACCGCACGTGGACCCCACGGACCGATAGTCTCTACAGCAAATGGCACAAATATGTAGTCATCTCTCAGAGACTCATATTTGCGCCACTTACTCAGTTCAGCTGCCTCTGATGCCGCCCCGGCTTTAAACGAGGTACCCCTGAGATGAGAGGCCGCCAGAGTGTCTACGCAAGTAGCATCCCACACTAGGGCTTTACCTCTCTCCCAAGGGACCAATGTCATACCGTCGGGTCTCTTGCCATCGTCTCTAAATATTCCACAAGGCTCTAAAACCGAGGGAACATTTATAGAGGCAAGAGCCCTTCGGATGACATCGTTCAAAGAACTGTGTCGTGAAAACCTACCAGCGCTTTTCTTACATGAAAGTCCGTGGAGACCAAACTTGTCGACGCTGTTACCACAGGGGCATTGATGGGGTTGACAAATCGCTGCTCCTAGTCGGATTCCTACGGCAATACGCAAGCTTTCCCTATCAAGTAATGTGCCGAGATTACTTGATGGTAAAGCGTGTAACCAGTGACTAGATTCCTTAGTCGAAACAGCTAGAAGGCGTGCCTTATCTTGGTCACTATGGAAATTATGAAACAATTATAATTATGACTATAATTATAATTGTTATATATTTATTTAGTTGTGTATGTTCAAAGAACGTTATGTACGATAATTCTTTTCATTTAATATGATAATTTTGTTGCCACCCCGTATATATATATGTTACATAAACAAATTTCTGCAAATAAGTACGAATGCTAGGTCACAAGACCTCTTTTCCACCCACGAGTCCGTCTGCGTAGGTTACACACTGTTATCTATATCTACCTTCAAATAACAGAGCTTAACCTTCTTTCAGCGTGGTAGCGCCACGCTGCAGCTATATATGATTCTTAATCGAGAATAAATAAATATATCTATGGGCAACGGCTTCCACTTACCATCAGGTGAACTGTGTGCTCGTTCGTCACCCTTATTCTATAAAAAAAAACATCGATACCGTCTGTAAGGTTTAAAGACCCATAAAGAGAGTATAATTAAAGGCTATTAGGAATTCCATCTTAGTTCTCAGATGTGAAAACGCATCTGTAGCCTTCTTCTATATTTGAAGGTGGCTGCAAGTGTCCATAAACTGCAGTCGCCGTTTACCATCTAGTGATTTTTTATTATTTTAAAGGCCACACAAAGTAAGTTTAAAAATGCTTGTATCAAGAGTGGTTCACTACAGAAGTCGAATGGCGTATTCGGACCCCCGACTCTCTGAGTTTGCAACCTGCAATGATAGGGCATTAGGCTACTGTCGCTTCAAATTTTACTTGTAAGTTCGTTTTATGGGGTATATATAAAGGGTCACAATTTTTTTATAGGATAGAGTGACAAACGAGCACACAATCCACCTGATGGTAAGTATTTGCTGTGACCCATAGACATCTACATCTATCCTCAATAAGGAATCAAAATGCAAATGTGTTGCCACACGTGAGGACTAAGACGGAATGCCTCTTTTCCAGTAAAAAGAGTCTCCGGTTCTCTACACTCACCATACGAAACACAGCAGTATTAAGCTGCTATTTTATGGTGGTATTCTGTGAGATCGTGGTTCTTCCCCGGTCGAGCCAACCCATTCGTGCTACAACTATACTACTAATATAGCTGCAGCATGGCTCGACCACGTATGAGTTAGTAAAAAATAGGGTGTTATATTTTTTAATTTTGATAAATTTTGAAAGCTATTTAAAATAACGAAATTCAAAATATCTACACTCAACTTTAAGCGCTTGAGCTTGAACCGGCCGGTAGATAAAAAAGCTTCTTTACTTTCTTTACTCCAAATTAGTAATATTCATTGAAAAACCAGTTTGATAAAATATCACTTAAAAAAAAATAATTAAAAAATATCTGTGCCATGGGCTTTTTTTGTTCACATATTACACCCAATTTTTTCCTTACAGTAAAAAAGTCGGCCGCTGGTATGATTTTTACTAAAACGAATCTAAGTTTAGTGATACACAAAATACATAACTTTACACATATATATATAACTACAACTTATCAAACTCACACGTATACATAAAAGAGACGCTGATTTGATACAATATTTTCGAGTGTCTCTTTACAATTAAATCATCGAGACAATAAATTTAAAAAATATTGTACTTAAACCATTTATGCACGTATAAAAAGGTAATTCAACGCATAAAGTAAACAAAATAAACAGCTATAAATGATACACGAGCAGAAGATAAAATTTAATTCTTTTAACATATGTTAGAAGGAATGTTAAATAACTACGGTAAATTTTTTAAATGAACCTAATCATCTTAAATTTATCGTTAAAAAATAATGATCAATAATGTTACTCAGATTTCTATTTCCAATAATAATAACATAAAATTATCTTATTTATTATTTTATCTAATATTGATATTATAATAGTTACCTGTCAACTAAAAAGTAATTTAAAGCTTTTCTGAAGGTGTTTTCCGTGACAAAATGTTTCAGCATTTGTAATAGAGATGCGCCTTTAGTATAACTTATACCGGAGAAGTGTCCCGTTACTTGTGCCGGAGAATTCACGGTATGCTGTAGAGCCCTGGTTGATGCTGAAGCGTCGGTTGATAGAGCGCTTTGTAGGTAAAATACGTTGAATTGGTCTTCTAATTCCATTGAAGGGTCTACCTAAAATTGTGTCCCGTAAAATAAATACATAAACTGAAACGCCTGTCACCCACAGGGGTAGGCAGAGACTATAGGCTTCCCTTTGTATATCTACACATAGTGGCCCTTGTCGAATTAGCCATAAAATTTTGCATCATAAAACATAGCTTTGCCACTCTTCATTCAATATTTTCACATGTCCAAACCAACAAACATTCCTTTCTAAATCCTGGCCTCAACATCTTTTTGCAAACAACCCTGAGAACTAAGAATGCCACGTTTGTTTCTCTTGTTCTCATCATACACATGTCCTATTCTATGCTGATATACGGTGAGAGCATGGTCTTTCACCAGTCTAACCACCCATTCATGCTACAATCATAATATAGTGTGACAATCAATTACAGTTTTAGGGCAAGGAAATATCCGTCGCGCTATCCCAATGCGTGTTGGCGAACTTCATATGTCTTCGAAATATTTTCTTTCTTATTTCTCAGGCATGCAGGTTTTCGCACGATGTTTTCCTTCACCGCTGAGCACGTGGTAAATCTGCACTTAAAATTGCAATTAACAATTTCATTGGTGCCGGCGGGGATCGAAACCGGTTTGCTCGCATACTGTGACATTTACAGCGAGCACTAACCATCTGAGCTACTACGGCTCTCAGGCTTGGATATTAATTACAGCCTATTGAAATCCAATACGGAACATAGGCCTTCCCCATCCATATCCAGGCGGTGATAATGATCTAACAGAAATCTTAACATTGAAAAAATAAAATTATTAGCTATTAAAAATCTCTTACCCCATTCATAGCAAAATATTCAAAATAACTAGCGAAACCTTCGTTGATCCAAACATTATTCCACCATCTGCAAGTGACGAGGTTTCCAAACCATTTATGAGCCAATTCATGAGCTGTGATAGTTGCAACACTTTTTTTGTCCAGGACGTTAGTTTCACCTTCTTCGTAAAGTAGTCGAACCTCTCTAAAAATTGAAAAAATTGGTTCAAACTTCTTTTTTACAAAATACTTACGTCTATGCAGATATAAAAAAAAGTTATATTCTGCTAAAAGAATATATTTAAATTGTCTGTAAAATTCCTTTAGATTCAAGGTGATTAGCGTTCCAAGGCAGTCATAGCTGAAATTGTATCTAGTATCAAAATTTAATATTTTATTAGTTAAACTTATAAATACTTAAATATTATTTTTTTAGTTATAGAGTTGTATCTTGGTTTAAAAGATACACGTAGCAACTTGTATGCGCAAACAATTTGTACAAAAAATTTGCGCACACAACATGGTGCACTGCACAACGTCCATGCTATGGCATCTTGCATGCACAAACAGTTTGTACAAAGTTTTGGCAAAGAACATGTATGGCATCTACACGCCGTATTAACGTACATGCTTTTTTAGTTTGAGAAAATGAGCATTTGTGCAGGTCATTTGCACGGTATACCGTTTTGCTGGCTTAGCGTGCATGCTTGCTTGCGCAAATTAGAATTTATGCAAGTAAGATTGAGCGGGCCTTAACAAAGAATATATACATCGGATATTATACACAAAGGAATAGAATTTGTAATTACAGTAATCATTTTATGGACTGTCTCATTGGTCAAGTGTACGTAAATGCGCTTGCCGATCATGAGGCCCTGGATTCAAATCCCGGGTTGAACCAAAATCAATTATTGGGTTTTTCTCTCAAGAAATACTCAGTTACTACTGACTCAGGCTACTGCCTGGTGTCAGGAAGCTTGAGAAGTTTTACCCCCGTGCCTTGGAAATCACGTAAAGCTGTTGGTACTGCGCCTGATATCTATCCAACTGTGTTGTCTTACCGCCCCATCGAACTATGAGAGTTATGGAATAGAAAGTGTGAGAATGCTTGCACATACATTCGGGCACTATAATCCTGTCCTGCACAGATGGCTAATCTCCGTTCAGACATTCAGGAGGACATTATTATTATTAATCATTTTATGAAAGATTTTATTTACCTGTAAGAAACTAGGCCCCAGTTTTCCGTAGCACCAGAAGCCCAGTCAGGAGTAGCAATTTGATCGTTTTTCATATCTTCTCCCATCGCATAGTAATCAATCCCTAAATATTCCGAGAGCCAAAGGGTTAGCGGTGGTCCAACTTCCAAGGCGTATGCTCCTTGTCCTTGAGCATTTGGGCGTGCAAGGATACGATAAGATCTTGCAGTGTCATTGTTTTCCGCTATTACTGTAAATTCTTCACTTATATGGAACGTCACAAGATAAGCTGACATCCGTGGTGTTGTGTTGAAGATTTCCTTTACTCGGTCACCCATGCTGAAATGCATTCAATTATGTAGAAATATGTACTTAAACATGTAAGTATGGTTTTGATTAAATAACAAGTATTACGTTAAAACAATTTCGTGTAACTACTTGTCAAAGAAAAATGATCATTGAGCAAAACTTTATTTGTTTACTTGCAACGAACTTTATAGAGTTCATTATTTACTTTAATATCTCGCAGTACATACTTTAGAATTTTAATGAAAACATTGTAACTTTTTAGAGAGACTATCAAAGTTATTATGCCCGAGATTCTAATGTAACTTAAGAAAGTATGCATTTTAAGGTGCTGTTGAAGTCAAAAAACATTCTAAATTCAACAGAAAAGATGGCTGATTGCTGCCATCTGAGATAGTATATGTAGATAGTAGTTGTAGATTTTTGCAAGCCTGATTAATTTTGGCTCATTGTACACCCATTATTAGTCTTTTTTTTTTCGAAGTGCTCTTAACGAATTTTTTGATATGTGAAAGACGATAATGCCTTGTTTTCTATAAAATTTAAACGTTTTCCAAAAAAAATCCTACGATATTTTTTTGTAATCTAAGATATCCGCAAAATAACAAAAGTAACTTGCCAATCTCAACGGACCGGTAAGCTGTATACTTAGCGGATCAGTGGCAATAAGCCGGCCTTCTACGGCTTAATGAACCGTACAACCGATACTGGAAAGCGCAGTGTGGGATGACACCCCCCCCCAACAGATGGATTAACGACCTGATGAAACACAGGTAGTCGATGGATGTTAATAACCGAGGACCGTACCTTGTGGCAATCTGTGGCGGAAGCCTGTGTTCAGCAGTGGACTTGTCGTGGACTGTAGTGATATATGTATAAAAAAATTAATAAAATGAAAAGAGTATGAATATATCATTTATTTGCTTATATTACTATTTAATTTAATTTATTATTATTATAAAATATAGCCTGTTTAAAATACAGTCGACTTCTTTTTCGAAATATTATGAGCCGTTTAGGATACAGAACATCACAAGAGAATAGATAAACTTACATACATACTCACATACATTTATACAATCATTCTAATAACCCTTATTCGGGAAGATTAGGGTAAATATAAGGAAAAATATAGTTCCAAAACCAATCTGCAAGTATTTTCTAATGGCATTAATATTCACTGTCACGTGCATGTATTAACAAATACATTGCGAAATGTAAACATTAATCAGTTAATCACTTTTGATAATTGTTTCAATCATAATTACAAGATAAAACCTGTCATCTGATCCAGCGTTTCTCAAAGTGGGGTACGCGAACCCCTATGGGTGCGCCAGTAGGGATTCGCAACAAAATGCGCTTCTGACTAGCTGGCTCACGCATGCTACACGCATGGTGCACGCCAGTTCTATAACTATACTCTATGGCGCACGCGTGTACGTGTGACTGCGACGTTACATGGTTTTAATGGTGCAATGTGCACAGGGCGAAGACGTTACGCGTAATACTTGCTATTTTGTAATCGCACACTAATTAAAAGGTGTTTCTCTTTTTGACTATATATTATTAAATTTAAAAAAAAATCATTTTTCGTCTTTAGGTAGTTTTTTAGGGGTTCGCTTCGCTATACGTTGAGCTGTATGTTTGAGGAAACGGTTATAGATCAAACTCTGGTATAGAACCGTCATAATAAACATAACGAAATTTAAGAAACACAAAAAAAGAATATATTTCTTAATATTTACGATTATTGAGGGTCTTTTTGCATTTTTCATTTCAGTTCATATTCACCATGTTATTTCAATGTGAATTTATAGACTTCGTAAAATTTTTTTTTTCGCAATGAGCACTAACAATTGCAAACTTACTTTGTAATATTCGATTAGTGACAATCGAAGATAAATCTCCGATTTCTTGCGAACTTTAAGTGAACGCTCGGACTCTAAGTTAAACCGATTATTAAGAGTGGTCGTCTTAAGAGATAATTATATCAGATATTCGACAGAATCACTATAATGCAATTTTGATGTTGGCCCAATCGCTTGCAAAACAGCAAAATCATATGAAAATAAAATATCACAGTTACAAGAAATCTGTTCTACTTGGGAGTCTGGTCTCAAAATGTATTTGTTTCTATTTCATTTATAAATGTGGAATCAACAGAGAGAATTATCAATTCAGATAGGAAACACGTTTTTAAAGAAATGCGATTTTTGCCATCTCATATATCAATTGAGAAACCTTTGTTTCTCAAGATTATATTAGTTTTGAGCAAGACGTTTGGTTTTTTTTTACCATCTCCTGTATCTCCTAACGGATATACGCAGAACAGTGAAAAGGAATTTCAAAAAAGGTTACAAGATGTCTAGCACCACTATCGCTTATTCGCATTTCGTAACGTAGCGTTTTTGGCAAATTCTTCATTTAACGAATGGGAGTCCATGTCCATAAGTGTGAATATGTAACATGTCATTTAGAAGTAAACAATCTATGACTAAGAAATATCCATAAAGAAGTGATGTTTTTTTTTTCATATTCTTGCACTGACATTGTTTCCAGCTCATCGGGAAGTTAGTGTAAAATCTATTACTACATTCAACCAAGTAAGTTACTTACTTAGCAAAAACATGGTAAAATTAGATAAATACATTTCTATAATAACACTGCAGTAAATTAGCTTACGGTATGGTTTCTGCAATCCTCATGTTGGAGAAACTGGTTGTGAAGTGAGCTGGACGATTGATGGTGATATTAAAAGTTGACTTAAATCCAGGCTCGTCGAAACTTGGGAAAGCTTGTCTAGAGTTAGTTGGCTGCAAGTGTGTCGCTGCATACCAGCTAGAATTAAAAGTATTAAATACGTTAATATCATCAAATATTTATTATTACTTACATTATTAACATGTTAATTATTTTTATTGAACAGTCATTAGACATCGTGCAGGAATTCCTTTCTTTCAAGTTCAACCTATATTATATCTAATTTCGAATTATTATTTTTATATACGGATAAATAATACATTTTTAGGGGACAAATTAAAAAAATAATTCATTTTTTTATCTATTCTTATCAGCTTTAAAATCTAATAAGTTCTAATTATTTTAACATTTTAAATTTTATGATTCTGCGGCCACTACATCTCGCTTTTCTCACTCATTTCTCATTTAACAACTATTGGAGTTATTCCCCTCTTTACAAGTTATAGTTCATTTATTTTAAATTATGAAAAGGGAAAATTACAATAAATAAAATCATATTATAATTCCGATAATCGGAATATTGGTCACTTCGCTATCACATCCTATAAATAAAATTAAGTTCCGGGGGTTATTTTCATGCCGTTAAGACATTAATAACCATTTGTATAAATTTTGTCTGTCTTTATGTTGTACATATTTTACTTTAGATTTAACTGTCGTTATTTTGTATTTTGATGTACAATAAAGAGTAAATAAATAAATGAGTAAATATTTAGGCTAATCTTCGGAATTGCTGAACCGATTGTGATAAAGCTTTACAAACATATAGAAAGCAAATCCAGAAGTGATTTTAGTTATATTTTATCCGAAAAACAACGTTTATTTTTGAGGAATGGAAGAATTGGTAAAATTTGTTTTTTGGATTCATTGATGGATTGGATTATTGATGATTACTTTAAAAAACTAAATGACGATCTATGAATAGACCCTAACCAGGTGAAACAGAAGCGGGTCGCTAGTTTTAAATAAATATATCACTATTTTAAGTAAAAGTATTAAGATTAAGTTTATCGCATATTATACTCACTGTAGTCTCCCATCGTTTCCTCTATAACTTCCCCTAAAGACACCTCTAGACAAGGGCGTTTCGTTAATGTTTCCTAAGTAAACTATAGTCAGTTTATAAACACTACCGTTCTCTAATGTCACACCATCTTGTAAATTAACTTTCAAGAAGTGATACTGTCTAAGACGTTCAAAAGGATTTGACGCGTTCACGGCAATAGGTGTTCCTGCTTTATCGGTAAGAGTGACCGATATTATTTCACGAACATTTTCTTGAACTATCAAGGAGTTGATGCCGTTTTTGGTAGCCTGCAATCATTAACACTTTTAAAGAAACTTTTAACAATTATTAGTATTCTAAATAAACAAGGTTTACAAAAAGAAAATTTAAGATGGTATCACAAGTTTTACAAATAGCATTTTGATTTAAGGATTTTTTTTACAAAAAGGACTGTTTTGTTTTGCCTAGGCGTTTGTCTAAGTAGGTTACCTCTTACCTATTTTGCCGCCAAATAAGCCAAGCCTGGACTGCTTATATTGGTCAAAAAGGTATTGAGTGCCAGTATAATTATAGGCTATAACGCATTCCATTTTATTCCTTGGGAATGATAAGGCTTCTTTAGTTTTGTTTGTTTAAATTTAGTTGCAGCTGTCCATAGACTATAGTAGCCATTTAATATCAGGTGGACTGTAAATGCTTTTATTCCGTCAGTTTTAAAAATTGCCTATACCCTATACAGATGCTTTTAAACTAATAAAGCCACTTTGGGTTTGATTTGATTGGTATTTTACTTACAATGGCTAAAAAGGTTGACAAGTTTGTTTGTTATACGGAAAAGACAACTTTATCTAAAAGACTCACCCTAACATAAATTGTAACTTCCCCGTCAAAAGTGAAAGCATCTTTATTTGCGGTTGCTTCAAAATATGGCGTTACTTCTATATCATAATGAATAGGATCCAAATCCTCGGGTAAACGATATACTGTATCGGAATCTTCTCTTTCAAGTTGTAAAAATGTCTCATCGAAATCCAAAGGAAAATCTGCTATGACCAAAGCGAACAATACTGGCAATATTGCCAGCTTTGACAATGAAAACATGTTTCTGAAAATGAATGATAGTAAAGTTATATTTCATAACATTCTAATTTTATAATTAAATTCATTGAATATTGTTGATAGTTTCTAGTATTCAAAGCAACCACAGAGCTTTCTAAGGATCGATTTTTTTACTTGAAATGTTTCTGTAAGCATCAAAAAATTTTATTAAACCAAATCTTATACCACAGAGCGAATTTGAGCGATTGATATCACTTTAAAGATAGTATTCTTTTTCGGATTGAGAGTCCGTCTTGGTATGTACCACCCTCTTGTACCAGTCTCTTAGAGATAAATTTAAAGAAATAAATATATTAACTTTGGTCTCTCAGTATATTTACGAAAGTTTATGTTCACAAAAACAAAAGTAGTTTTAGTAAAAAAAGTGATATACATTCTGTAAACACTAGGAACAAACACAAGCTACTAATATCAGTTTCTCGACTCCACAGAGTCAGTAATTCATTCTTGGGGCAATGTATACGCTATTACAACAAGGTCCTGGAAAGTGTACAGGCTCTCTATTAGCAAGTTTAATTGTTTTGTTAAGTTGAAACTGTATAAAAAGGGTTATTATAGTATAAATGAATACATGGTTGATAATAGCCCCTGGGAATGAGGTGATTGCTTCCAAACTGTTTCTAAAATAAATAAAACAAATATTTATATTTATGTTTATATAGTTTGTACAACCATTAATGTAAAATTTGCTTTAAAAAAAAGTCCCGCTGGGTTTCTTGCTGGTTCTTCCCAGGACAGAGGTTTTTTTTTCGAACTAGTGGTAAAGTAAAAAATGACTTTCAGTAAGAATTACACATGTGATCTATATTGAATAAAAAAATATTCTATTCTATTCTATTCTATTCTATTCTATTCTTGCTATTCTCGCGCTAAAATAACAGTATTTGAACTCCCGTGTTTCGGCTTGAAGGGTATAGTGTCAGTAAAATTACAGGCTTCGAGGCATTCTATCTTAGTTCTTAGAGATGACAATGCAACTGTAGCCTTCTTTGTTTTATTTTGGCTGCAGATGTCCATAAAATACAGTAGTTATTTACCATCAGGTGTCATGTAAGTACATCTGTTACTTCAGTTATAAATTAAATAATATTAAATGTTTTAATGATTAGTGCTTCTGTTACTGTTTTGGCTAATTCTAAAATTTTTGCCATCGTCTGAAATTAATCAATTCTGGTTCAACCTTTTATAAACTTGTTGCCATACTTTTGAGAGAATACCTGCGAACCTGAACCAGACATATTCTTGATTTTCATACATTCAAAATCAATAGAATTAAAATAATAATCAAACTTACCTGTGCTTCTATGCCAGCTTCATCAAATGATACGTTCAAGTAATAAAACCTTATCGTATGTTATCGAACATAAAGTATATATGTCCCTAAATTATCGAATTATCTGATATGGTTTTACATATTTCTATAAAGTAATAATTAGCGATAAGTAATTCTTCTGGAGCACTACACAGATATATTTTAAAAATACAGCGGGTTTCAAATATACATTCAATTTATTCTGTGAATATTCTTTTGATAGTAGCTTGTTATCATCATTTTCTAATATTGAATAACTCAATCGCAATTTGTTGATTTAGTGGTCGGAAAATTTGTAGAATCGGGATCAAGAAAATCTGAAGTACTTTCTCCAGTTTTTCTTGACTTGTGCTACACAAACATAATTTCGTAAGGCTTTTCCTAGTCTGCAGACATTAAGGGTCTGGATTATTGAAAACTATTAATTGTAATTTAAAAAAAGACTTGTTCGTAATCACAATCAGCCATGAACACATAATCATTTAAAAGAAACAAAATTTTATACATAAGGTGACATAATGATTTTGTTGCCGCAGCTTTGGGTTTTTGTCAAATGTTCAATTATAACGGTTAAACTGTTCGAGAGCACAGAGTTTAAATATACAATAAGGTTAAGTTTTGAGCAATTTTTTCTCCAAATGTCAAAGTGCGAAATAGTGGAAGGTTTTGCTGATGACGAAAAATCCATCAAAAAAAGCTGAACATTTACTTACTGGTTTAGGCAGCGAATTATTACTAGTACGAGCTTAACCTTCTTAATATGTTGACTATAGCCAAATCTTTCCAGAAATTTTTGCCAGGTAATATATAACACTAACATCGCAACTTTGTTTAGGGATAACAAATGTAGCTTGTTTTCTGATTATAATTTAAATCTATGTATTATTCCATCATGATGTGATATTGTATGAGTATCACCAAATTTCAATCAAAATGGCGTCAAATTTATTAGAAGATATGTTCAGAAAAATTTGTAGCAACTGATTTGTGATAAGTTGTGGTGAATAATCATAAATCTGTTGCTACTTCTTACTAGCTATTTCTTACCTAGAGAATCTTTCTTCTGTATTGGTGTCGACCTTTAAGCCCATTTGTTATTTCAGCTGGTCCATTATGCTATGATGAAATAATAATTTCTTTAGCACATGCCCTTATATTATCAGTATTAAAATCATATAACGTTTGAGGCGTAATCACTTTAGATTTAAATTTGTAGGAGTCCAGCAATAGAATAATATTTAATGTTAATATTATACGAGGATCATTGATATATTATGCGAAGATACCCACGAGGATATCCATAGTAGTACAATTAAGTGAAATATAATCTAAAGTTTTTAAAATCCGAGTATTTAGCTCGTAGAACCAGCAACAACAAATTATGTGTAAGTTTATGCTTAATCAAAATTATAACATAATTAATTTTAATATGAATCAATTAATCTTGTCTGAACAGAGAAAGAATGAATTGAAAACCTTCTTTATTAGTCAGAAAGTAGATGAATGTATTCGCATTTTCACAAAGAAACCTTCAAGAGAAATCTTTTGATGGACTTCCGTAATAATGATGATAATATGAAGCGCCATATACTACTTCTGTAAAATCTCATCGTTAAACAACGACTTCGTTGAATTTATGTTAACAGATCATTTCATTTTAAGTCATATTTAAATTCAACCAAATTTAATTACTGCTGTAGGTGAAACAAAAATAGACAATAATGCATGTATAATTTGTTTTATTTATACATGTTAAGATAACACTAGAACTAAATACAATTTATGTTTAAACAAACAAAGCCAGCACTGCCATAGTAACCAACAAAGCTGTAGACACCATCACGTGAACAGCACCATCCCTGGCTGCTGCTAGTATAGTTTCAACATTTGCCGAGCCCCAAGCCATATTGTTACGTGCGGAGTTTATTGCTGAAATAGCTGTGTTGAATTGTAGAGAATTGCTCTGAGTACTTCGAATCCAGTCTTCATACTGTAAAATTTTTTCAACATTTATTTCATAGTATATAAAAATATTTACATACAGATAATCATGTGGTGGTAGCACTGTATCCATTACCATTATTTCATCCCGTGGGTATCAAAATGGCTCACAAAGGGAAACTGAACAAGGAGATAGGCAGCAGCACCTTCCTGATAACAGCTGAATAAAAATAATAAACTGCGGTTGCCAACCTGCTTACAAACGGGGAACTGTAGCAATATCCCTCTATAAGGCAATCAATGGGAGTGGCCTATGTTCATCCATGGACCTTTGCTAGACTGTATTGTTAATGGTAAGAATTTAAAAATGATATAGTCCCCTCAAACTGGAACAATTGATAGGTCGATAAAAAGTGTAGAGCTATGAAATCTCTCCGGATAAGATATGAATCTTCATTCCGCATCCAAAAATATTTTTGGTATTTTTGGATGCGAAATGAATATCTCCCTAAATGAAAAAACACTGAGATTTATATGCACAAAATCTTCTTGACCTCCGTTCAAGGGGTAATTACAACGATGGATATGGAGCTCGCCCATTATAGAAAGAAATTGTCCTTAACCACCTCACCTCACATATTTGACCTTTCGTCGCTATTCTGAGTATTTTACAACTAACATATATACTAAACCACCATCGATCAAAGGTTTTTGGTCTATTCCATAGTCGCCCATTACGACATCTGTAGAACAAAAACGGGTTGATGAATTTTCTTTCGCACAAAGCACGTAAAGCCGTGCAGGTTATCGTCCCATCGGATTATAAGAGTGAGGGAATAGAAAGTACAACTGTGCTTGCGCACACACTTGTGCACTATAAACCTGTTCTATGCAGAATAACTAGTGACCGTTGAGATTGAGTTTTGAGATGCTCGAATTTTAAAAATGGAACGCACCCGTGTTATATGTATGTTTCTAAAAAGCAAATTTATTTAAAAATAGAACTCCATAAGCCAATCGCTCAATATAAAAAAAAAAAAACAAAGTTCTATTAAATTTCCTGCAACGCTTCCTGTGCTTTTCATTAAAAACGACATTTGCGCGCTATGATATATTATGATTTTAAATTTGGTTTAACCGAACAATTAAGTTTACAACGGTTACAATCAACATTAGGGGACTCAATTTTTAGGTGGTTTGCTGAATTCAAAAGGGGTAAAAGTAATCTTACAGATGACCAAAGAACCGGGGCCCCGCAAACAGCAGTAACGGCAGAAATGTACGGACTACTGAAATTTTGGTGCGAGAAGACCCACGAATCACATAAACTGATATCGAAAAGATTATAGGCATTAGTTCGGAGAGCATTTATACCATCCTACATCAACATCTTGGAGTGAGGAAGCTTTGTTGTCGATGGATCCGTCGTTTGCTCTCCGAAAGCGAAAACAGATTCATGTGGATTGGTGCCATGAAATGCGTCTAAGTTTTAAAAACGGGGCATCAAGGCGTGTTTCGGAAATCGTTACTGCATTGCATTACCCAAAGTTTTCCAAGATGTGCGGGAAAGAAGACCAAAGACCGGGCTTCGGGGAATCATGCTGCATCACGATAACGCCTCTTCACACTTCAATCCCTGACTTAGCTCCTTGTGATTTCTTTTTGTTCCCAAGGGTCAAAGAAAAAATAAAAAGCAAGTTTTTTTTAAGCGTCGAAGAAGCCGTGAATGCCTACGAAGATGCGATTTCCGACCTGTCAGATCAAGACTGGCAAAAGTGTTTTCAGAGTTGGTTTAGGCGAATGGAACCTGCAAGGTTAGCAAGTTAGAGCATGACGAAGAATATTTTGAAAAGATGTAAAATAAATATTAATAGTATCTACTTTTTGTATATCTTAAAACTTATTGAGTGTCTTACGTACCAAACTTAAATTAGACATCGACGTAGGCACAATAGGTGATTCGCAAAACAAAACTGGGTTTTTTGCAACATTCTGTCAACATTAAGCTGCTATTTTGTCTTGTCTTATTATTTATTATAATGGTTTGAAGTGGATTTCAATACGTAAGAGTATTAAATACCTGCTAATGTTAACTATTAGTGGATATGATTAAACAAGTGCTTTGATAGTGATTAAAAGTTACTGTGTCTGGCGCCTTGTTACCTTGATATACAATCGACTTTAGAAATTAAAGTAGAACTGTGTTACTAAATTAGATACAGTGAATATAATCATACTGTTAATACATAACTCTCATATTCACTCTATAAAACTAACATTTTCAGAAATGTACTAACCTCTACTAAAAGTGGTTCAACAAGATATGCTGCGAGGTTTGATAAGCATGTGTGAACTGGATTATGAGGGGCATCTTCTACGTAGCTAAAAATAAAAAAGTAGATTCTATGACATATAAATTTAAAAAAAATTTAACAAAAAAGCGTTTTTACTGGATAATGGTACTCTTTTTTGCCTGGGTGTACATTTGGATCTATAGCTTTCTTTATTTGAAGTTGGTGCTGCGTTGTCAGTCTCTCTGACTTCCACGACAGAATGCCTCACAGCCTGTAACTAATCTGATTAACTATATATTTGCCTTTCAGTCTGGAACACAGTAGTGCACTCCTGTTCGACGGCAGAAACGGGTAATATGATGGTAAATAACCTAACCAACCTAATTGTTCAGATTAATCCCAGCCGCCAAATTTCACGAACTCACATCGCGGAAGAACTCCCGATACTATCCACACCATCTGGATGATTGGCGGTCCACCACTGTGCGATTTAGAAGATGTTTTCTTCCTCGCACGACTTCCTTGTGGAATCAATTACCATCAGCAATTTTTCCGGACCGATACGACTTAGGGACCTTCAAGAAAAGAGCCTACTCCTTTTTAAAAGGCCAGTTACGCATCTGCAATTCCCCTGGTTCCCCTGGTGTTGCAGTTGTTCATGGGCGGCGGCAGTCACTTACCATCAGGTGAGCCGCATTCTCGTTTCCCCTTCTACTATAAAAAAAGCCATCTAGTAAAGTAACCACCTAGTAAGTTACGACTTGTAAGGAAATTTGTATTTCCACATTCACTGGAAGCATTTTAACTCAACTTTTGTCTGTAATGAGCAAAGAGGATCATTACGTTTCTAGATTATTATGACTTTAGTTTGAATGATTTAATACAAAAGTCAGATACAGAATATACCGTGTGGTGTCTGTGTAGGAGAATCCACCATACCACGTACAATGATAGCGCTATAGCTATCTTTATACGCCAAGGATAAAATAACCAGACCGGCGACAGGTAGCAGACAAAAGACCAATACATCTGCGATTGGAAATCTGGCTCCCAGGCGTGATGATTAAGGCATATCGGCGAGATGAAACCCATGTCCAGCAGTAGAATTCGGGCTGCGAAAGATGAAAAAGTGTTGAGCAATCCAACTCAACACAACATACAACGCGTAGGCCTTAGGAGCGGAGGCATCTAGGTATGTCAATTGGTGAGTGAATCGACGCGGGAGTGAGTGAGCCACTACGCACGGCATCGCACAAGCATTGGCGCATCTCATTATTAATACATGTTTGTCCCTAAGCTTAACGACAACTATTGTACTGTTGTAATTTATTAAATGAGACGTACTGAAGTGGACTCAACCAAGCTACGAAGTCTACAGAGAATGAATAATTTACTCCAACATTCCAATTCTTCAACAACTCAAAGATCAGACAATAACTATCATGTGTTATTGATAACTAACTAGCTGGTACCCGGTGCATTGTTGCCGCAGAAGAAATAATTTTGGAAATATCATTTTAAATTTGATAGCTAATATAAATCTTAATAAATATAATTAGGAATGATAATATGTATATTAATTGAAATTGAATTATATATAACTTTCAAATTAAGATAATCAAACATTTTTAAGCTTACGCCGCTCTCATCTCATTGACGTTATTCTTTACAAACTGAAGAACGGTGTGTGCGTTTTCTTGGTTGCCCAACAGAGCGAAGTTGAACGAATTAACCTTATCATGCGGTCTAACAGCTTTCGTTAATGTGAGTTGTAAATATCTGAAATAACACCAACAGTGAATAAATGTTATTGAACGACTGCTAATACAAACGATAAGAAAAAGAAATTGCATGATATATCATTATCATCATTTATGATACGGTACTCACTGCGTAAGAAGTTCAGGGTCCCTTGCAGCACCCAGTGCTCGTAACATTTCCAGCTGGTCGTTCGCAAAGTTAGAATTTAACATACGGTTTCGTAGAAACTGGAAATCAACTTGATCGCCTTCTCTGATGCCAGTCACGTATACATTGCGACGTATCTTCGGATCTACCCTATATATTAATTTCAATTAAATTAAATTAAATTCTTAACTTTAACATGTTTTTATAGCTAACATCGTCTAAAGCTTTACGCCAGCGTAGTTGGACCATATTGTGCGAAAATGACCCAACCCACATACTGGCCAAAATAAAGATCCGGAGGGTCTCTTTTCAGTTTATTTCCAAGTATGAAAGACTTCTGAAAAATAACAATCAATCCCAAAATCGTCATTCAATTTTATTTAATATGATACAATAGGGATTTTGTCACAAGAAAATGCATTAATCTTTCAAATCTGAATAAATTTATATTTTTATGGGTTGAAAAATTTTGGTACATTTTCATGTAGTCTAAAAATTATTTAATAATCATCCGTCGAATTTTGGATTGTAAGCTCAAACAGCTCATTCTATGATGGATTGTTACCCTGTCTATACAAGGTTATTTTGCAATAACCGGCCAAAGGAGAAGAGATTTTTGGGCCTGAAGATAACTAATTGATTTATAGTTTAAAAATTGTCCATATTTTCTTAAGTAAAATATAAAAAGTAACTCTTTTTACAATCTAGATTTCGAAAAACAATAAAATAAGAAATAATTTAGAAAATCGATTGTAGTGTATTATTTATGGTAATAAATCGATTACCATAACAAATACACTAGTGGAATTTCTCATTTTGAAACTTGATTTGACAATTCCAACTTCAAACTGTTTATTTTAAAAAAAAATACAGATTTTCGATTCGATTTGAAACGAGCGCATCTCACGGCGATTCTCAATGAAATTGAGCATTTTAATATCTATTTTCGATTATTTTTTTAAAAATTAATAAAAAAATCTCAAAGATTCTGCCCTTTTAGTCTTTTAAATTCAAAATGCGCGGCAACGCATTATTCTAACTGATTTTACTGCGCACACACACATTCGTAAGGGTCGATCGGTATCGGTTGCCCATAAATCACATTCAATTTGGGATAATTTTAAATAAAAGTAGAAGCCTTATTTACTCGCAATAACGGTATAATATCATTATTTATATATTTGAACTTAAGTTTAAAATTTGGCTAGTCATTGAAAAATAGCCCTGTATATTTTATGTGTTGTAATTTTAGCATAGTTATCAGATTTATTGAGAACTATAGGATTTTAATTTTATTGTTTTGCTTTTAGTCAATTTTTTTACACTTATTTCATTGGGCAAACTTTTAAGTATTCACCCATCCTTCTCTTTACCCGATAACAATGTTTTGCTATCTATTCTAGTATAGACTATAAAAGTCCACTACTGAACATACGCCTCCCCCATATATATTGCCTCATAGGGGAAACTGTCCATAATTAGTTGGTATTTTATTCATTTTATATGAGAAACGGAAAATATTTGTAAATGTATCTATTAGCACATACACCTGAGATACAGGTTTATCCTAGTTCAGGTGCCTGTTATTGTAGACTATTTTAAATTAAGACATTATTTGAATTAGTTGTACAGTTTATTGAAATAAAATTATTATTATTATTAACTACCACGCTAGATGGGCGGCTAGGCAAACGCAGTATTTTTATTATTTTCAGTTGTTATCAGGAAAATGGTGCTGCCCATCTCCTGCTCAATTACCCTCTCTCGCATCTAATGACACCCACGGGACCATAATGGGGGAGGTGGATACTCCTTCACCGCCACTACACGGTTGGAGTCTTTTTTTTATAGGATAAAGGTGACAAACGAGCACACATTCCACCTGATGGTAAGTGGTTGCTGGGGCCCATAGACATCTACATCTATCCTCGATTACAAATCAAAATGCAGATGCGTCGTCACCCGTAGGGACCAAGATGGAATGCCTCGTTTCCAGTAAAATGGGTCTCTATCTCTCTTCTCTACACTCACCATACGAAACACAGCAGCGTTAAGCTACTATTTTACGCTGGTATTCCATTGCTAGACTTAGGACATAATATGGAGTAAGCGTGATAATCGCTCCGCTTTGCAAAGAATTGACCACAATATCAAATTTCTCGAACCTTGGACTCAGCTCTCTATCACCACTCCATACTGGCTATTGGCACATCTGTTATGGTTGTAGGTACCGCTATCAATGAGACAATTTCATGTTTTTTTCTTGGTCGACTGTTATATCTCTTACGCCAGCAAATAAGAGCTGATTTACCACGAACTCGGTAGTGAAGGAAATAATCGTGAGGAAACCCACATGTCTGAGCAATTAAAAAAATATTTTGAAGACATATGGAGCCCGTCTACATGCATCAAATATACAGAAACCAGTGCAGTGAAGGGGTTTGTATCCAGCGTTGGGACGTTAAAGAGGCTGTAACTTTACCATCTAAATTCACCAAAAAAAAATCAATCAATCAATTTTCGATTCAATGGGTTGACATGTTGAAATGGATAAAGGCACACGCACACTTTGTATAATTAATCTGGAACAAGAAATGTATTATTGGTAAAAAAAAAATCACTCACCAACTGTTGTTATTTCTGAGTGCAATAAATCTCTCACGGGATTCTCGAACACATTTTTCGTGGCCAAGCATACAAGCGAAATGCAAAATTTCTTGCCGAGTCAAACTAATAGTGGGAGTCTCGTATTCATCCACATCGAAACCCAATGTATCGATAGCGTGTTCCATATAACTTAGAATGAAGGACTGCAATAGTCATAAAATTTTTAGTGTCACAATTCTTTTAGTATTTAATATTTAAGTTTAAAACCTTTTCCATATGACTTATAATAGGATTGCAACAGCCATAAAAGACTTAATTAAAATTCTATAATTATTCAACATTTAAATTATATTTCAGTGAATTAGTTGACAATTTTAATATGTATGCTTGATTTCAACTAAACACTAAACCTGCTTCTCCTTCAACAGTCCATAAAAGTCCATGTTGGACATACGCCTATCCCTTTGTAGGGATGATGTCCTTACTGTAGAAATACTTTTTTTATACAAACAATAAAAATCATAAATTTCTTACGTCGAACATAGCCTGGCCATCAGGCATGTGTCTCAATCTATTACGAAGCCAAGTATATCCACTGATAGCTGGATTCCAAACATGATAGTTTGCTTCGTTGCGGAGGAACCTCAGTATTTTAAAACCAAAATCGTAAGTCATTCTTTCCGATCGCATAAGGGCAAATATATCGTCCACTATCTGAAAATAATTACTATTTATATAAATCATATATTATATAGATTAATTGTTCCTGAAATTCTCGTAGTTTTTATTTTATTTCAAACAGCCATTACTGAAATTGTAAAGTTTAATTCGGTACCTGCGCTCTATTTAAATAATGTATTGATTCGGGGTCGTTTAACAATGCATCTCCAATTAAGTTCCAAGACTTTTCATCGTAGGTCACTCTGTAATATCCTATAATGAATAAAATATACATTAGATTTTTTTAATAGGTTAATTTCATTTTTGTTTTAATAGAATCCTAATTCAAATATAGGAATTGAAATTCCGTGTTCAAAAATGAGAAGGTTCTATATTTAAAGCATATATTTTTTTGTATGTTCATCGATTTCTCAATAACGGCTAATAATCTGGTCAACAAGTTGAAAAGAGTGTGAGAGATAGCTCATTGGATTCGGAATGACTACCTAGAAAAATGTATTCCAAGGGCTTATTGCATGGAAAATTTGTAATTGTTATTAACAAAATATGACGAAAAAAACAGTATCGGGTTTTTGTTAATAAATGAAAAATTATTAATATTTAAGAAATTTTATTACAATATTCTTAAAAATAAATAAAAGTCCAATAAAAGTTTCTTCCAATAAAAGAACTCCCGAAACTCTTATCTCCATAATTTGTAATTTTTATTTAACGCTGAAAATAGGGTTCACGGCAAGGCATTTACGACATGCGCGCGTTGCCACTAGAGAGAGTAAATGAGATAAAATAATTTTTTTAACATTTAAACTTATCTCATTTTTTTAAAGTTATTTAAATTAAACTAATTTTACGGATTTTACCGCGCAAAATTAGTTTCATTTAATGTGAAATATTTGCGTAATTACAAAACAATAAACCTTAGTTGTCGAAAAATGTTTTTTATTAATATAAGTTTTTTACATAATTTTTTATGTCAAAAGTAGCACTAGCACTGCTACTAATATTTAAATTGCTAGTGTGGTAGTGAGCCAGTATTTAGTTTGTGCAGTTGTCGAGTGTCCGATTCGTACTAACGACTTTATAGTTCACGGTATTTTCTGCCGCCTTCAAAAAGGAGGCGGTACTCAATTCGACTGTATGTTTTATTATTTTTTTATGTGTGTTACCTCATAACTTTTTACTAGGTGAACCGATTTCGATGATTCCTCTTTTTATTTGAAAGCTGGTACTTCACATGTGGTCCCATATGAATTTGATCAAGGTCAGACCAACATTTTTTGAGTTATTCTTAATATTTTATATTGAAGTCAGCTGTACAAAATTTTTCATTTTAAATTATACCCTTGTACATAAGGCTGCTATCGTTTTACTAATAAAAGAAATAGTCGTAATTTACTATAGAGATGCTAATATATATTTATTTGCTCTGTAGTGGCGGCGTCAGAATATCCGCAACCCCGTGTACTTTCGTGGTTGCCGTAAGAGGCGACAGATGGAAAATGAAACGGGAGACGAACAAGAACATCTTACTGATAACAACTGAAAATAATAAAATTCTACAATTCTTGCCAGCCAAGCACCTCACAGAATACCACAGTAAAATAGCAGTATAATACTGCTGTGTTTTGTATGGTAAGTGTAGAGAACCGGAGACCTTTTTACTGGAAACCAGGCATTCTATCTTAGTCCTCAGAGATTCTCAATTGACGATAAACGTAGATATCTATGGGCCACAGCACCCACTTACCATTAGATAGGCTGTGTGCTAGATTGTCACTCTTTTTTCATAAAAAAAGCATGGCAACTATGGCAAAATCCGTGTTATAAGGCAATGAGATTTTATGTTTTTTTTATTGAGCACTTTTGATAAGCTGCAATTAATGAATATGTCAGCGTCTCTACAAAATAAAAGATGGATCGAGAGTGAGCGAAAGGTTGCATCACTTTATCGGAGTATCATATTGATAGTGGCGAGGCAGAATTGAGGGTATATCGAGAAACCCCCACTCATTTGTGCAGTTTAAAGTTCACTGTAGGCGCAGTGTGCGAGAGATTCTGCTTAAGTAATTCTACGAATGTAGTAATTCTTTTAGTGCAGACAAGGAAGATGGTGTTGCTGAGAGAATGTTCTGTGTTATAATGAGGTGGGTAATGTTGCTGTTGGTTGTCATGTTTTAGTCTTATCATGTAATTACGTCCCTCACGTTACATTACGGTGTAATTGTGACGGGGACATATTATGGTCGAACTGTAATTGCTCTATACGGAATGTATAGTGCTGAACGCTGTTTTATTGCTGATAATGATTAATTGCGTAAGCAGGAGACCCTTTTTACTGGAAAAGAGGCATTCCATCTTAGTTCTCACGGGTGACACCGCATCTGCATTTTGATTCTTTATTGAGGATAGATGTGTGCTCGTTTGTCACCCTATCCTATAAAAAAAGAGAGCCAGTTAAACATCAATCTTCTGATGTAATATCCTAGTAATAAACGTATAAGATGTAAATAAAGTTTTATATTATGCTTGTATTTACCATGTTGTAAATTGTTGAAAATCACCCATTCCTCTCTCGGTGTTTTCCTGTACGTAGCTTCTCGTGATGTCATCATGTGAAGCGGCTTCAAATTATTGAAATCAGGGTCGCTTCTTGTTGAGAACGAAATAGGGATCGGATATAGTTGTCCACTAGGTGTTGCAGAAGCGCTAAGGAAGAATCTTTCCTAATACACAAAAGAATATCCATTAATTAACAATGGCACATTTACATTATTTGAATGTAGTTACGCAAGATGGTTTCATAGTGTCCCGTCTGTTATCTCCAAGATTAAAAGCAGAGTCCAAATAGTAGCGAGACACATGGACCACGCTTAGCAAAAAAGTAAGAATAGACGAAAAAAAAACCATCTCCTACACTATTACAAACCCAAATAGTATCCTATTAGTTGTATTTTACGATATGCAAGCAAGTAATACAGTTGGCACCTTTTTTTAAATTTATCTCACATAAACACGGAACCGATAAGTCCCAGACTAACATGGAATACGTAAGGGGGATCCAACTCAAATAGCATATCTACAGACTCATATTATATTGTAAGCAGGAATTTTATCCTAGTCCTTAAGGTTGAGAACGCATCTGCGTTTTTCATAATAATTGAGGATAGATGAAAGTATTTACAGGTCACGGGATCCACTTAAAACAGGTGGAATGTGTAAAAATTTGCCACCCTCACATGTATAAAAAAAGCTTCATTTGTCAACTTGTCAAATCTTGGCAACAGTCAACAACTCTTCAGATTGTTTTTGTTGGATGGACTATTCTTGTGTCAGTTTAGTTCATTAGTTCGGTAATTTTTTCTATCAAGAAAACTGTATTGTATAGTTATTGACTTGACTTGATTGAGTACATCGTAAGGAAAAAGAATGTATACAAAATTTTAGTTTTCAGATTCTAAATGTAATAATTTGGCTATCAAAAACCATTTTTCAAACTGACGAACAAAACGGGAAATCAGGAACACCTGGCCTCAACACATGAAATTTACTGCTTTAAGCTATTTAGATATTTCTGTATGGTACTTCTCCGATCTAGAAGATCCATTCGTAGTTAAGCCAAAATACAGCTAGCTACAACGTTGCTCTGCCATAATATGATTTGGTCGTTTTTATCAATGTAACCGTGAATTTTTTTTTTATATAATTATTTTATTCACCTCTTAGTTTTTGTACTTACTTGACTCACTGACATTTGACCAGTTGCATGATTAATTTCCACCGTCAGTAATGGGTAGCCAGGCTCGTTAACCCATACGCGGTAGTACTCGGCGAAGTCGAAACCGGAATATTCTTCCAAAGTGCCATCTTCTTTGATTGCTTGGGCGAAGGCGTTATACAAATCGTACTGATCCGTTGCTTTGTAAGCGCTTTAAAAAAAATGTTATTGTTTTTGTTTATACAAATATAAATTATTTTATTTTTTTTATAGGATAGGGTGACAAACGAGCACACAGTCCACCTGATGGCAAGTGGTTGCTGTGACCCATAGACATCTACATTCACCCGTGAGGACTAAGATGGAACGCCTCTTTTCCAGTAAATAGGGTATCCGGTTCTCTACACTCACCATACGAAACACAGCAGCATTAAGCTGCTATTTTAAGCTGGTATTCTGTGAGAGCGTGGTCCTTCCCCGGTCGAGCCGACCCATTCGTGCTACAACTATACCCGAAATATAGCTGCAGCATGGCTCTACTAACTTTGACAATCCTATGTTATCCCGTTCGTGTCGTAATAGGCTACAAAGAGAAAATAAAATAGGCGATTGGCAGTAGCATGTTCTTGATAGCAACTTAGAACATTAAAAGAACTGCGATTGCCAACATACATACCTGCTTGCTTATGCAGCCTTGTATGGGAGAGGCCTATATTTAGTGGAGGGGTGTGATCGGCTGTGGTGGTGGTAGTGATAAATGACGAATTAACTGTATTTATTATTATATTTTTTACAAAACAAACGACAAGCGAACTTACTATTGATGTAGCTATTGCAGTCAATGCAACCTACAGCCAAATTTAAATAAAGAAGGGTATAGATGTGTTGTCTCCCCTGAGAACTAAGAGATGATTGAACACGAAGATGGGATGTTTTATCTTTCAATTTTATTTTTTATAACATTATAGCTGAAAACATTTTCTGAAAATCTACTTACTTGTTACGTAAGAAGTACTGGCAAGCTTTTCTAAATGTTTCTGGAGTAATCAAATCAACTGTCATCCTTAAAAACGAAGCCCCCTTCGAATAACTTATTGTACCAAAATGCCCGGTGACCTGAGCTGGTGTATTCACGTCATGGTTCATTGGTACAGTCGAGACACTCGAGTCGACGGACAACGATGTTTGTAGGTAACGGGAGTTAAAATGGTCGTTATGTTCGTACCTAGGGAACATCTGCAATATTTTTTCGATAAGTAAATTTTCTAATCTAAAAAACAATCTATCAGAGGTGATGAAAAACGAAACGCTTTCACGGTTGTGTTTTTAAATGTGTGATTTCACAATTCACCTCATTAAATGTTAAATTATACTAGTCGAAACGTTGTAGGCGACTTCTCCACATTCAATTCACAACATGCAATTCCCACATTTCACATACACGTACACAATACCTCCATTCAAGCATGCACTAAAATACAATAATTTTACGTGATAAGTCCATGCTGCAGCTATATTACTGGCATAGTTGTAGTACGAATGGGTCGGCTCGACCGGGGAAGGACCATGCTCTCACAGAATAGCACCGTGAAATAGCAGCTTAACGCTGCTGTGTTTCGTATGGTGAGTGTAGAGAACCGGAGAACCTTTTTATTTCTTTATTTATTGGATGTACACAACAGCTTATATTCACTTTTACGTAACATAAATACCTAATATATACAAAGTTTTGACCTGGAATACAAACCAAGAACGCGTACATACAGTTGCAACATGCATTATACGTAAACATATTTATTAAAAAAAAAAACAGAAAAATTAGTTAAACAATTTTATGACATTTTTTTTAGATATAATTAAAGACCATAAAAATTAATGTGGATTTGACTTGAAGTAATGGAACAGTCGAGTGAGAAGCTTATTTATATTATTGTCAAAGACGTCAATGTCCCTACTTCACTCTGTCAAAACTATATCATTATAAGAGCGACTCATTCGTGTTATGGGATTGTAAAATTAAGTATTGTTCTTATAAATGTTTAATATAAAAGTATTAAGACGACGCCTGGGATTCGACCTGATATTAAAATTGATTTGGGATAAAAGATTTGGGGAAACAATTCTGCAGTGTATTCATTTATGTAAGCAAAGAATATATTGTATTGCACGTCTATTATGTAGTGATGAAACTCCAAATCTAAGTTGTTTTCAGCCTATTACCACCTATCTTAAGAGCTTTGTTTTGGATTTGTTCTAGACGCTTGGAGTGCACTTCGTAAAATGGAGACCATACAACAGAACCATACCCAAGAGTTTTTTTTTTTTTATAGGAGAGGGGGAGAACGAGCATGCGGCTCACCTGATGGTAAGTGACTACCGCCGCCCATGAACAACCGCAACACCACGGGGATTGCAGATGCGTTGCCGGCCTTTTAAAAAGGAGTAGGCTCTTTTCTTGAAGGTCCCTAAGTCGTATCGGTCCGGAAAAATCGCTGGTGGTAAACTATTCCACAAGTAAGTTGTGCGAGGAAGAAAACATCTTCTAAATCGCACAGTGGTGGACCGCCAATCATCCAGATGGTGTGGATGGTATCGGGAGTTCTGCCATGATGTGCGTTCGTGAAATTTGGCGGCTGGGATTAATCCGAACAATTCTTCAGAGCACTACCCATGGTAAATGCGAAAGAAAATGCAAAGAGATGCAACATCTCTTCGCAGTGCCAATGAGTCGAGCTGATCGGAAAGGACTCGGTCGTCGACAATTCGAGCCGCTCTGCGCTGGATGCGGTTAAGTGGAAGGAGCTGGCACTGGGGAGCCCCAGTACTTCTTATCAAAGCATAGAAGAGATATAAATGTGGATGGGTTTTTGAAATGTTTCGTTATTCTAGTAATAAAACCTAATGTTTTGTATGACTTAGAACAATGTGATCACAATGATCTCTGAAAGTAAGTTTTTCATCAAAGTAAACACTATTGGCTAAGTCTTTTGCCACTGAATTTCGCTTAATAATTTGACCTTCAAGTATATAATCGTGATTTATTTTATTACATTTGTTGGTAAAAGAGATAACGAAGCATTTATTTATAAGTAAGTACATACAGTTTTGTTTGTACCAGTCAGCAATTGTGTTAGCATCATTTTGCAAATCTATACAATCATTAAGGTCATTAATTTTCTTGAACACGTTAAGGTCATCTGCATATAATAGACAAGTACAAGTTGGTTTTGGGGTTAGGTCGTTTATAAAAATAAGAAACAATTGAGGGCCCAGATGGGATCCTTGTGAGACACCTGATTTAATTGTGATAGCAGTCGATTTATACCCATTTATAGTAACTAATTGGCTACTGTAAGGAAAGAGATTTCTAAGTAAGACTGTATCCATCGTAATAAATTACCATGGATGCCGTACCACTTGAGTTTCTGAAAAAGTAATGCATGGTTCACTTTGTCAAATGCCTTGCGGAAATCGGTATATAGTGTGTCAACTTGACCATTTACTGCGAAGGCTGAACAAAGGTATGCCTTATATTCTAACAGATTTGATATTGTGCACTTTCCCTTGAAAAAACCATGCTGTTGCTTGTAAAAAGCTTTTACATGATAACAAATTCTATCATAATTTAAAGATTCAAACACTTTCGCGACACAAGAAAGAATGCTGATAGGTCTATAGTTTTCAGATAACCAATAATCTCCTGATTTGTGTATTGGAAAAACGTTTCCACGCTGATGGAAATGACCATATTAATTCTTGTAAAAGTATTTAAGTTTATTAGAGGGTAAATCAGGAGGAAGGTAACAGAGACATAGGTTAATGACGGACTTCATTGGACTATCGAACAAGACTGATATCCACAATTATTTAATATCACTCTCCCATTCTTTATGACAAATAACCTCAAACTCCTTTTTAAAGGCTATCAGTACACCACCACCTTTAGATTTGTTAATACAAGTAGACCCACGGTCTCTCTAGTATACAATGTAACGACAATCGAACAAGTCATTATCAAACACAGTATGATTTAGGTTTGTTTCAGTTAAACAAATACAATCGTAATTGCAATTTAATATGTTTAAATATATGTAGGTCTGTTGTCTTTGTTGGAATACGATTAACATTTTGGTAGTATACTTTCATGTAGGAACGTTGTTAAGAATCCAAGTAAATGTATCAGTCAATTGAGCTACTACAAATTTTCACTCATACAATCTAAAACAAACAACTTTACTTTGAACTTTTACCTTTTTCCTGGAAACGAGGCATTCCATCTTAGTCCTAACGGTATCGAGATATGAATATAAAAAATATCGACGATATAATATATCGATAATATTATAAGCGTATATCGATATTGCGATATATCTATATTTTTTACCGAAGCCTACACCAGTCGCATGTACACACCACTGCATGAGGAACTTTTCTCTTTTTTTTTATAGGATAAGGAGGACAAACGAGCACAAGGTAAGTGGTTGCTGTGGCCCATAGACATCTACATCTATCTCCGATTACGAATCAAAATGCAGATGCGTTGTCACCTGTGAGGACTAAGATGGAATGCCTCGTTTCCAGTAAAAAGAGTCGCCGGTTCTCTACACTCACCATACGAAACATTGCAGCGTTAAGTTGCTATTCTACGCTGGTATTCTGTGGGGGCGTGGTCCTTCCCCGGTCGAGTCGACCCATTCGTGCTACAACCGTAATATAGCTGCAGCATAGCTCTACCACGTAAAAAAATTGCTTGCTATCCGAACACATACTGTACGCGCGTGCTGTTTTTCATATAACTGCCTTATGCTTGTCATTTTAACTCTGTACTTTCTGTTCTTACTTTCTCTGTATCTATAAGCGATTGCTGTAATCTTTGTGTGATCCCTCTGAAGGCGATTCGTGGGCATATCTTGTGGAACATTAAACTGCTAAGTACAGAACTTTATTTTAATTTAGTCAACGCTACTCTCACTCCATTCACACACATAACCCTACACATATATTAGAAAATTACCTCATTTGTGGCTGCATATCCGAAATAACTCGCAAAGCCCTCATTAATCCAAGTGTTGCTCCACCAGTAGCAAGTGATCAAATTCCCAAACCATGTATGCGTCAATTCATGTGCGACCAATGTTGCTGCGTAGTGTTCGACTGACATGATAGTCTCTCGTGGATCTAAGATCATATAGAGTTCCCTGAAAATGAAATTATTGACCGTGTAATAGCGGTGTAAGAATATTCACTAAACTATTATCCCGTGGGTGTCTTAAGAGGCGACAGAGGTAAAAAAATCAGGAGATGGACTTTAATTAATAAACTGCGGTTGCAACGTAAATATCCTTCCTATGAAGTAATCTGAAGAGAACCCCTATGTCCAGCAGTAGATTTTAATAAGCTGTGTAGGCAAGGTAAGGATAATGATGATAATAAATTTTCCAGCATTAGTTTTTCCATTATTTTTTATGTGGGTGTCTTTAAGGCAAAAGTGAATAAGCATAATATGTTAATCTAAATCAGTGTCCTTTACCATCTTTGGCTACATCACCACGTGAAATAGTCAAAAACTCGCTTATAGTAGTTAAAAATAAGTATATCATTAAGCGCCATTAGGTCTACAGTTACAGGTTCCGTTAAAAACTGGTATGCACATCCATATTATCGTCTACCTATACCACAAGTAGCTTACGTATAATGGCTATATATAGTGTATCATCTTTGAGGGCTCTCTTCTACGGTACAGTTTTGACACGGCCCGGTTTTTTGCCGGCACCGGGTAGAAACCGTCCGAGCTTGACTGTTTGTATACGACCCGGTTTCATGGAGGCGAAAAACGTGCCCGGCTGAGCGGTGAGCCGGCACTAGCACCGGCGTCGTGTGATTGGCTTCACGGTATCCCATACAATACTGACGACCGGATGTAGACCCGGTTTGACTCCAGGCTTAGCACCGGCAAAAAACCGTCTCGTGGGTATGAGGCCTGAGAGTAGAAATAGGTGATAGAGAGAAAATGAAACAGGAGATGAGTAGCAGCGTCTTCTTTATTACACTCGGTAATAATGAAAATCCAATTTTGGCCCTTTTTTGTTTCGGATGGTGAGTGTAGAGAACCGTATACCTTTTTTACTGGAAACGAGGTATTCTATCGCAGTGTTCAGGGGTGACATATCGCAGTTCGCGGTGACGCATCTGCATTTTGAGGATAAATTAAGATGTTTGTGGGCTACAGCGTCCACTTATAATCAGAAGGACTGTGTACTCATTTTTCACCTTTATTCTATAAAAAAAAAGATACTCACCTATAACTTACCATACCCCAGTTTTCCGTACCCGCAGATGCCCAATCAGGAGAGGAAACGTGATCATTATTTAAATAAGGATGTAGTTCAGAATACGGTATTCCGAAGTATTTCTCAAGGTATTTAGTCATGTCTACAGTAAACTCCAAAGCTTGCTTTCCTAATCCGACGGTATTAGATCTACCAATAATTCTGATTGGAGGTTCAAATGAAGTATCTTGAGCGATTACAACAAAAGACTCGCTGATGAGGAACGTAACAAGATATGAAGACATTATTGGTGTTGCATAGAAGTTGTCGCGAACACGGCTGCCGTTTAGCCTGGAAAATAAGTGATTAATATTTTCAAATAATACATATTAAAAAAATGTAATAAACATTTTTAATGTTCTATCTGAAATTACCTATCACTTGATTCCATGCGGGTATTGGAGAAAGTTCCTGAATAATTTTCTGGCCTTGATAGATGAAGTTTAAATACTGCTTTGAAAAGAGGTTCGTCCCAGCACGGAAACGCTTGTCTTGCGTTGTACGGTTGAAAGTGCGTCGTTGCATAAATTCTAGAAAAAGTACATTATATGTTTGAGTACATTTATGAAATACTCGCGGCCCGCCCTGGCTTGGCGCGGGTTGAACAATTTTATATTAAATATTAGATAGTAGCCATAAATCAATAGGATCTGAAGGTTTGCAAAATAACAAAATTGTCACAACTATTCTCCCTGTTTAGGAGCCGGCTAAAAAGTAAGCACCTAAGTACTAAATTAATTAAAAATTAATTATTATTTTGGTGCGCAAGAGTTTTTATTAAACTTTTCAAAAGAAACGATTCAGCCAGCAGCGCACGCAATGGAATCTCTCAAGTCTCAAGAGGCACTATATTTCCAATTTATTTGACAAACGTCATCATTACTCTTAGCTATAATATATATTTATGCATAATATTTAACTTATGTCCATCTGAAGTAATGTACCTTTCAAATGGTGAAAGAATTTTTGAAATAGAAGCAGTGGTTTCGGAGATTACTTTTTAGGTATACACAAACTCATAAAACGTATGCTCTCTCTTCATAATATTATATTATACTATCGATAAATAATAAGAAAATGGCACTAGTATAAATAAAATTGCTAATGTCTAACTAACCTTTCATTACCATTGTCGTCTGTATACCACCCTCTCCAAATACCACGCTTCATCGGACCCTCGTTCATAGCACTTGAATAGTCTATCATGAGGCTGTAATTGGTACGTATTGCTAACGCTTGCTGCAAATTGATCTTCAGGAAGTGGTACTGGGGCTCAATAGTGAATGGTTCTATTGGATTCAGTGTCACTGGTAGACCTGACGTCAAAAGACTCACAGCGTTAATCGAATCTACGTTAGCGTGGAGTACAATTTGTGTTACGTTTTCTTCGAGTGCCTAAAATGGTATATCAAACCGATTTTCATTAAATAATACACCACAACACATTTACTTTACAAAAACAAAAAGCATATAGCATAAGGGTGACAAATGAGCCCACAGTCCACCTGAAGGTAAGTGTATGCTGCGGCCCATAGACATCTACATCTAACTTCAGTTAAGAATCAAAATATCTGAATTGTCATCCCTGAGGACTAAATGCTTTATTTCGAGAAAAAGGGTATCCGGTTCTCTATACTCACCATACAAAAAACAAAAGCCTAAAGTTGTTATTTCACGATGATATTCTGTGTGAACTCTTCCCCGGTCGAGCCGACCACAATCATACCTGCGGCATGGCTCTAACCACGTCCAAAATTATTTATAATTGTTGACAAAAATCTTTGATTTATTTTACAGATAACTTCCTTAGGGTTGAAATAGTAATGCGCGTGCATCGGGTGAATATGACGAACACGGTCTCATACAACAGTGAACTAATGAGCTGTTCTAAACGTACGCCCAATGCGCCGCTACATACACTCCTTCAAAATCACGCCAGGTTTGGGCTTACAAATGAAATCGTTTGTCTTACTTATAATCGTTGACTATACAAACCTAATTTAAATTAATCAATAATTAATACTAAATTAACTTTTATACGTGGTAGAGCCATGCTGAAGCTATATTTCTGGTATAGTTGTAGTAATACCAATAGTATTACCAATAGTAATACCAGCGTAAAATAGCAGCTTAATGCTGCTGTGTTTCGTATGGTTAGTGTAGAGAACCGGAGACGCATCTGCATTTTGATTCATAATCGAGGATAAATGTAGATGTCTATGGGCCACAGCAACCACTTACCATCAGGTGGACTGTGCGCTCGTTTGTCACCCTTATCCTATAAAAAAAAACTGTCTCTTTCAATCATTATTTAATTAAAAAAGAGAGAGAAAGCAACTTTAAACATTATTTTTAAGAGTAACAGTAACTTTTATTTGCAGATATTATTTCCTTTCCGTGTATAAAATAATTCATCATCCTCTTGTTGCTTTTCTTATGTGAGTATCGTAGAAGACAACCTGGTCATATAAGTGAGGTGCAATAGCACCCTTGCAAATATTTCCAAAGATTACGAAAATGAATAATAATCGTGTAATAAAAAAACCCTTAGTCTTATTTATAAAGTATATCAGAATCGACCAAGTTTTAAGATACTTCTAGAGTATCAAATTTAAATAGTAACATAAACTTATTGATAACAGATGGTGTCAAATATCGAGATTTTTTTATAGAATAAGGATGGCAAGCAAACACACAGTCCACCCAATGGCAAGTGGATGCTGTGGCCTACAGACATCCACATTTACCCCTAATTAAGGATCAAAATGCAGATGCGCTTTCACGCCTGAGGACCGAGTTGGAATGCCTCGCTTCCAGTATAAGGGGCCTTCGGTTTTCTACACTCACCATACGAAACACAGCAGCATTAAGCTGCTATCTTACGTTGGTATTCTGTGAGAGCGTGGTCCTTCCCCGGTTGAGCAGACCCATTCGTACTACAGCCATAATATTGCAATCATAATAATATGTATTTAATTTTTGTTCAAGAAATAACTAAAAATAATAGAAATTTCAAAATTACCTTACCTGAATAATAATGTATTCTTTACCATCGTAGCTAAACGGTCTGTCCGTTCTTTCAGCGAAATAAAGATCAATATAAATATCATACTCAAGGGGCACTACATTTTGAGGCAGTCTGTAAACTGTCTGATTACTTCTGGCTACATTTTCATCACCGACTGGCGTAATCTCTTCAAATTCTCTATACCAATATACTGGATGGTCACCGCTGACTATTGCTATGAGCATAAAGCCCAAAGCAATTATTACTTTGGACATTTCTGCAAAACATTAAAATTAAAATTCACTCATTATTTCAGTCTTAGTAAAAACTCTGACCAGATATGAAATTCCTTCTTAATCATGATTGGCCAGTCAAAGCCCACTTCTAGACATTGGCCTTTAGTGAATAAGAGGGACAAACGAACATATAGTTCACCTGAGGGTAACTGGATGTTGTAGCCCATAGATTGAATTAAATTCTCGATTAAGAATCCAAATTCAGACGCGTTGTCAACCCTGAGGAATGAGTAGAATGCCTCATTTCTAGTAAAACAGGGTCTCCGGTTCTCTGTACTCACTACAGCATGGTCGTTCCCCGATCGACCCGACCCATTTGCGCTACAACTACAATATAGCCGCAGCATGGCACTACCACGTATGAATGGGCCTCTCGCTAATGAGGGATAATTTTCCTTAATCGTAACGCTTGGCTTGCGGATTGAAGATCGCAGTAGCAGTCGTATTGCACTTTTAAAGCCGTGTATCGATTATGCGCTCCAAAAGGTCGGACATTGGCGCGCGTTCCAGCCGCGTGAAATGGATACTGCCTTGAAACGCACGCCAAATTGTTCGTTAGAACACTCAAACCTGCAGCGGGTCGTTTCATCTGTCGTCGGTGTTTTACCGCGTATCAAAGTGTTTTCATCATTCGTGTGTTCGTTGCGTTCCGAACTTTGGATAACCTGAGTTGCCATAAATTGATAAAATTACATGGTTCAAAATAACTGCTGTGGAATAGCAAAAGTAATTTTTATCATAATAAACCGCTCAGAGAAGATGCATGGAACTATGAAAGCGGCAGCTGTTCGTTCACGATCGACATCCATGTTGAACGGTCAAACACTGGAACAGCTGCCGCGCGCGCCAGGCGCACTTAGTTGATATACTTCGGACATTTGGAACGCGTTCCGCGGCACGCACTAGTCGGCGCAGACATTCATGGCGCGCGCGCCAGGAGCGCGTAATAGATACGCGGCTTGACGCTGCTGCCCGTTACCGGTCAGGGTATTTTTACGTGTGGCGTAAACTAGATGGTTACATCGTTATCTAATGGAAGCCATTAGTAGTTTTCATCATTGTCCATAGTCGCTTCATACAAGGCCTACGAGAAAGAGAGTAATGGATTCCGATAAAGAATTCTCTTTCTCTTATGCCATCATCATATGACTACGTCTAATACTACGACTGGCAATCCGCCTGCTAGTGGCAACTACTTACTGTGATCAAAGCCCATATCCATCACGGAACTGTTGCGATCATTGCAGCCCATCACAAGTGCTAAGCTGAACTAGACTTTCCCTAACAAATGGCACAATGAACAGTCCTGAACTAACATCATCTATCGACTCCTTCTATATTTTACCAGATCGTCACTCCATCTAGTGATGGTTGCACTACACTTCGTTTACCGACATGAGGCTCCATCTGGACTGACTGACCTTTCTTTTTTATAGGATAGGGTAACAAACGAGCACACAGTCCTCGTGATGGTAAGTGGTTGCTGTGACCCATAAACATCTGCATCTATCCTCAATAAAGAATCAAAATGCAGATGCGTTGTCACCCGTGAGGACTAAGATCGAATACCTCTTTTCCAGTAAAAAGGGTCTCCGGAACTCTACACTCACCATAAGAAACACAGCAGTGTTAAGCTGCTATTTTACGATGGTATTCCGTGAGAGCGTGATCCTTCCCCGGTCGAGCCGACATATTCTTGCTACAACTATACTACTAATATAGCTGCAGCATGGCTCTACCTACTATGGTTCTACTACTAATAACCTCATTACGATGACTACTACGCAAATAAATTCCGAACATAGCCCTCTCCATAGCTCGCTGAAAGACCTTCCACATACAGAGTTTTATCATACAGCCAGCATAATGGTTTCTTATATTTAGGCGAACACTACACATTTAAATAGAACTGTTTTTTTGTTCCAATATACGAAAATTAATAATATTAATCTCGAGGCAGCTGTGTTAACTAGGAATTTAGGACGTCGAACACCTCAGTGTTCCCATGACCACGGGTGCTGTAAAGTGCTCGAAACGTCGGGAATATAAAAAAAGTTAATATATGCGATAAAATCCGTAAAAACTAGTTTTATTCAAATACGGCCAGCAGTAAATAACCACATTCCATATATCATCACTGGTAACACACACGCACTTGTTGCTATTATTGCTATTATAAGTTTTGGGGTATACGTGATAAGATGTGTCGTAATTTCTCTCGGTCTAAGTTGGTAAATCCAACAAACAATCCTAGTCAGACAATTTGTCCTAGGCAAACATACTTCAACAGTTAATTCTTCAAGCATAGTGCTCCCAACAACTTCCGATATAGGTGTGACAAAACGTTACACGTGAAGGATAATAATTAATATTTCATAGTCACTTAACAGTTTTTGAAACTATTCAACAGGCTGCGACTGCGGATAAAACATTGCTCAACTTCGTTTTTATTAAAAATAAATTACAAAAAACTTACCTTAAAATTGAAATGTCCTTTAGAACACAGAAATTTGTGATATAATAAGTTCGTTTCTTTTTAATTTTATCTTTTGTTTATCATTAAGACGGTGTTTTTGTAATATCTGATAAAGCACCTATCAAATAATATCCTGAGGCTTATTATTGATAACTCAAAATTTTTGTTTCAAGATAAAGTTTAATATGTACATTATATTATATTATATCTAGTCCACTTCAATCCCCAGAAGACACAAGTTTGCGCGTTTACCGCTAAAAAGAAACCCTTTGACGTATCTCCTCAGTTTCAAGGAACTCCCATTGCTGTCTCAGCTAGCATCGGAATCCTCAGGGTCGACATATCGAATAGTGTGCAGTTGCGTGATCACTTGGAAGGGAAGGCCAAACTGGCCTCTAAAAAGCTTGGCGTGCTCAGCAGAGCGAGACAGTATTTCATGTCGGCACATCGCTTGCAATTTTACAAAGCGCAAATCCCGCCTCACATGGAATACTGTTCTCATCTTTGGCCAGGACTCCGCCGGGCCCGCTTGGTCGGCCGGTCGCGTTGCCCCCCCCACCACCAGTAGCACCTGAAAAGCGTCCTCTGACGTCACCAGAAGAGATACAGTCATCTTCCCAGCGACCAAGGGTGGGCAAGCGTACTGAGCCTCGCCAGAGTGTGGCCCCGGTGGCAGGACTGCCGTCCAGGGATGTGGAGGAGCCTGCTGCAGAGGCCGTAGGTGAGGACTGCCAAAAGGAGAGCTCCCGGGGAATAAGAGGGATATTCAAAGCTTCGACCGCATCTAAGCTGGAGGTGATCGATCATGTTCGTGATGCAGTCAAGGGTATCATGTGTATCATCACCGGACCAGGGTCGAAACTCAACAAGGCTGAGGTCAACAGGGTGGCTACATATGGGCATGATCTCATTGCAATGGTTGCGACAATGGAGGTCCATATATCTGAACTGGAGTTGGCAGCACTTAGAGCAGAACAGGGGAAGATTGCTGCGGAAGGAAGACTGGCGCAGGTTGAGGCCAGTGCAGTTCCTTGCCACGCGATGGACCCGGCACCGCCACGTTCCTACTCGGCGGCGCTGAGGCTGCCGAAGGGGGCCGACCAAATGTTGATGCCAGCAAGTAAAGGCCCAGTTGTCGCCTTCTACCCGGCTGAGACGGAAGGCCCATTGAAGACTGCAGAAGATACGAAGATGGAGCTCAAGAAGGCAGTTAACCCCAAGACCAGCGGGCTTCAGATTGACAAGCTGAGGAAGGTGGGAAATGCGGGTGTCGTGGTCCAAACCACGTCCCAGGAAGCAGCAGAGAAACTGAAGACTGCTGCCCCTCCAACATTGAGGGTGACGGAGCCCAGACAACGTTTACCACTGGTGGCTCTTAGGGGTTTTGAGGAGGACCCCAAGAATGAGGATGTAATCAGCGGCCTCCACGAGCAGAACCTTGCTGCTTGTGGATGGACCGAAGCAAAAGTGAAGGAAAACTGCAGGATTGCTTTCAAAAAGTCCTGGAGAGGTAGCAGAAGGACAACCGTGATCCTTCAATGTTCGGCTGCCTTGAGAGATATCTTGATCGGATACAATCGGTTATACGTCGGCTGGGACGTGGTTGAGCCGTGTGATTACGTGGACGTCACGTGCTGCCAGAGGTGTCAACAGTATGGGCATCCTGCGAAGTACTGCCGATCGAAGGAGGTCGTATGTGGGAAATGTGGAGAGGCGGGACATGAACGTGGTGCCTGCAAGTCCACGGAGGAGAAGTGCGCTACGTGCAAGCGATTTGGTAGAACTGACTCTGGCTCGCACGTGACCATGGCGAGGAACTGCCCAGCAAGGCTGTATGCAGAGCAACGCTCCGTGGCCACCACTCAGTACTGCCGATAAGGGCAGCCCCATAGTTAACCAGGAAGACAAGTCACTACGATTAGGACAAATCAACCTGGGTCGAGGGGAGCTCGCCGCGGCTGAGCTTCCCATCCTGGCGCGTGAACTGCACCTGGACATTGTTCTTGTACAAGAACAGTACTCCCAGGTTGCGGGGATCGTTCAGGTGGGCTGTCACCCGTGGGCGGGCATCTATCTTGCCGACCCAGCAATTGGGGTAGCAGTGCTGAGCCACCTCAGCAACGAATTTTGTGTGGTGTGCCATGTTGACCGATGGGACCTCTATGTGGTGTCAGCGTACTTTAAATTTAGCGACACTATTGATGACCACCTGCACCACTTAGAGGTCGCCCTGAGTTGCCTTAAGGGCAGAAGGGTGATTATGGGCCTCGACGCCAATGCGCACTCGCCACTCTGGTATTGTGATCGCCGACACTACATGGGAAGAGGACAAAATGTACAATATCGAAGGCAGCAAATGGAGGCGTTTATTATCACACATGCTCTAACTTTGGCAAATATGCCTGACCAGCCCTACACCTTCTCTGGGCCTAGAGGTGAGTCCAACGTGGACCTGACCCTCTCCACTGGGGACATCTACCTTGCCGAGTGGCGAGTGCACGAG